CCCATACCTGAATATGCATCAGGGTTTATAAACCCACATCTGAATATGCATCAGGGTTAATAAACTCACAGCTGAATATGCATCAGGGTTAATAAACTCGCAGCTGAATATGCATCATGGTTTATAAACCCACATCTGAATATGCATCAGGGTTTATAAACCCACATCTGAATATGCATCAGGTTTATAAACCCATACCTGAATATGCATCAGGGTTTATAAACTCACAGCTGAATATGCATCAGGGTTATAAACTCACAGCTGAATATGCATCAGGGTTTTATAAACCCACATCTGAATATGCATCAGGGTTTATAAACTCACAGCTGAATATGCATGAGGGTTTATAAACCCACATCTGAATATGCATCAGGGTTTATAAACTCACAGCCTGAATATAGATTATGGTTCAATAGACCACAATAGCGAGTAGCATCCTATTTTGGGGGGGGCTATAAGAGGTAACTTGCATTATCTTCCATTCATTGCACACATTACAAACAACCTGTATCCATATTCAATGGTGTCATTACATTATGAGGTATGCAAATTACACATTATTGGATACATGTTGCTACTTTGCAATATTTTTAACAATGCTGTCAGAGTAGCGAAACTCAACATTGTTCAATACCCAACCATTTATGGGTCAAATGTATTATAATTATGAATTCAGGGCTTGAACTACACAGAAACATCAAAGTCAATTGCCTTGATACCGTTCACTATGTGGAGATTTCTTATATATAACTATCAAATGAAACTGTGTTCCTCTCAACTATGAAATTCAAGCCCTGCCAATAACTGTAGAATTGCAAGTGAATTCAGTTTAGAATCTTACAATCCAATGTGGCATTATGGGTAATGTCTAATGATGGAAGATAATTGTGAGGTAACAAACTATTGCACGAGAAATAAAGGCAATCATATAAATGTGTCCAGTATTTTTATTATGCATGAAATATGAAAAATAGAGCAATTTACACCATGCAAAAAGTTAATTTTCAAAATAGCTTTTAAATAGAGTTTGTGATTTCTACTTACAATGTGGTATTGACAGCTGATCTGCAGTTATTTACAGTGATGAATGCAATCGGTTATTTTAACCGGATAGTGATTTCTGATTGCCTAGTGTGACAAACACAGCACATTTTCTAATTTGATAATGGTCAGTCAAATGGAAGAACATCAGCCAATAGACCATTTTCCGTTCACTGCGAGAATCACACGTTATGCGTGAAATCGAACGTAAAAACAGGACAAACAAAGGTCATAGCGTCGTAGTGGCATCAAACATCGCGTGAGATTCGACAAACGCGAAAGTATTTTGGGGGACATTTCCATGTCAATAATGTGCTGTACACATTTGATGGGCAATTTTGATTAAGTGAGGATATTCGAATGCAATATTCTTCCGTCAAAGATCGGTCGGTCGATGTGAGCTACGAAATAAAGAAATTCAAGTTCAAAATCAAATCGATCAATTTTTGCAGCAGACGTTCGACGTTCGACTTTCATGCATCTCGCGAGATCTCGCAGTTGTACGGAAAATCACCTATAAGTGGGAGGTGGGAGTTTTAAAGACCACTGAATTACTTTCACCAGAAATATTAAAACATTATCACTAATTGGCTATTGTCTAATAAATGACAATGTAGCCAAGATGGAAAAGTTTTAGTGAATGGTAAAAAACAACAGAAATCAACACATCTCTGCCAATATAAAAGTGCTTGAAACAAGATAACAAAACACCATCTCTGATTAGTAGGAATAGGCTAACCAATCAAAAAAAGCGTTTCTGAAAACAAGATCAGTAATAGCAATCATGACAGAAGTAAATGTCTTAATCAATATACAAA